TTCTAGTTCCACCAGATGTGATAGAGCACATCTTAAATCTCAGCACTGGGGAGGCAAAGGCAGGAGGATCTCTGTGAGTTCGAGTCCAGCCTGGTCTGTATAGCAAGTTCCAGGACAGCCAGGACTACGTAGGGAGACCTTGTCTAAAACAAAACCAAAACCAACTCTGAGTTGGCTACCTTCAAGAGCAGGAACAGAAGAGTAAAAGTTCAGCCGGCCAGCCAGGAACACTGTGAGCTGAACGTCAGCCTGGACCACCAAGCAAGACCCTTCTTAAAATAAAAATAAGAAGTGCTTCTGTTTACGTGAGCAGACTACATACACTACGTGTTCCCAGAAGACGGCCGTGAACCTGTAGCTGTCCGAGTGAGTGCTTCTGTTTATGTGAGCAGACTACCTACACTACGTGTTCCCAGAAGACGGCCGTGAACCTGTAGCTGTCCGAGTGAGTGCTTCTGTTTACGTGAGCAGACTACCTACACTACGTGTTCCCAGAAGACGGCCGTGAACCTGTAGCTGTCCGAGTGAGTGCTTCTGTTTACGTGAGCAGACTACCTACACTACGTGTTCCCAGAAGACGGCCGTGAACCTGTAGCTGTCCGAGTGAGTGCTTCTGTTTACGTGAGCAGACTACCTACACTACGTGTTCCCAGAAGACGGCCGTGAACCTGTAGCTGTCCGAGTGAGTGCTTCTGTTTACGTGAGCAGACTACCTACACTACGTGTTCCCAGAAGACGGCCGTGAACCTGTAGCTGTCCGAGTGAGTGCTTCTGTTTATGTGAGCAGACTACCTACACTACGTGTTCCCAGAAGACGGCCGTGAACCTGTAGCTGTCCGAGTGAGTGCTTCTGTTTATGTGAGCAGACTACCTACACTACGTGTTCCCAGAAGACGGCCGTGAACCTGTAGCTGTCCGAGTGAGTGCTTCTGTTTATGTGAGCAGACTACCTACACTACGTGTTCCCAGAAGACGGCCGTGAACCTGTAGCTGTCCGAGTGAGTGCTTCTGTTTATGTGAGTAGACTACCTACACTACGTGTTCCCAGAAGACGGCCGTGAACCTGTAGCTGTCCGAGTGAGTGCTTCTGTTTATGTGAGCAGACTACCTACACTACGTGTTCCCAGAAGACGGCCGTGAACCTGTAGCTGTCCGAGTGAGTGCTTCTGTTTACGTGAGCAGACTACCTACACTACGTGTTCCCAGAAGACGGCCGTGAACCTGTAGCTGTCCGAGTCTGTGCAGTCCATTCTGAAACGCACACAATGACAAAATTACCCAACACGATTCGCAGAACAACTCATTATTACTTTTATTACTGTTATTATTTAATTAAATGGATGAGTTAATAAATATAATGGGGTAACTACTGCTACTTAGCACAACGCTAACTAATAAATGTAAAAAAAAAATGCTAGAATTAGAAAAAGGCCATTCAACAATCATGACAGTAAAAACAATTTCGGGTAAGAATGAACTGAATTCTAAGAGCACAGGGTAGATGAAAATGGGATATTTAGAAACTCTCAAGGTCTCTAATAAGAATCTGTAAAATACTTCCTTCTTCAAAAGGAAAACAATAGTAATTTCATATTCTAGGAACCTGGCTGATCTTATCTTACCCAAGTAACTAAGAGTCAGAGAACAAATAGGATATGCTTCTCATACAAGGTCCTGAAATACCAATTCTAGGGTACTCCTGCCAAAAACAAGTCTTTTCCCCTCCTGTCTGTCTGTCTTCATATGTGTTTAAGCGTGCCGCACCATTAAAAGAGTCCTTCCCACCATCCTGGGGATCAGGCTCAAAGGTTGTCCGTCCAGCTCGGCAGCAAGCATCTTTAGCCAACAAGCCATCTCAAGGCTCACAAATCGGATTTTTTTTTTTTTTTTTTTTTTTTTTTTTGAGACAGGGTTTCTCTGTGTAGTTCTGGCTGTCCTGGAACTTACTCTATAGACCAGGCTGGCCTCAAACTCAGAGATCCACCTGTCTCTGCCTCCCAAATGGAGGGATTCTCTTCAGATCATAGAAACCTTTCGCCTTTCATAAATCTGAATTTTATGAGAAACTGTAGTGGTTTGAAAGAAAACTGGCCCCCAAACGAAGTGGCACTACTAGCAGATGAGGTCTTGTTGGAGTGGGTGTGGTCTTGTTGGAGGAAGTGCGTCACTGTGGAGGTGGGCCTTGAGTTATCATGCGCAAGCCATGCCTACTGTCTCAGACCACTTCCTGTTGCCTACATATCAAGATGTAAAACTCTCAGCTCCTTCTCCAGCGCCTTGTCTGCCTACATGCCCCCATGTCCCACTATGATAATAATGGACTGAACCTCTGAATTATAAGCCTACCAATTAATGTTTTCCTTTATAAGAGTTGTCGTGGTCATGGTGTCTCTTCACAGTAATAGAAACCCTAAGACAGAAGCTATCAAGCAAATCTGAACTGAGGGGCATCCTACAAATGGTCTATAATCTTTAAAACTGCCCAAGGCCAAGATTGACAGAGAAACTGTTTAAGAGTAATGCATTCTAAAGAGGCATGAGGCAAATTCAATATGTAATCTACTATTAAATGCCAAACTGAAAAAAATTATAGTTGAAGAAATAGAAAACTCATCTAGGTACTTTAGCATTAGTACCTCCACGGTATTAAGTACAGATCTAATTTCTTCACCCTGACATTCCAAAATCCTCCCAACTCAAGACCTAACAAAAATGAAGTATAAAGAGAATAGTTAAACTGGTGTATCCCTATTAGCCCAGCAATACTTACCACAGCATCAAAGCGGTTATGATAAATCTCTGCTTGACTCTGCTCAATGTAGCGCCTTTTAGCATGAATAAAAGCAGGTATTCCTCCATATGCCCAGCCAATGATGCCTGCTGAAAGAGCTGCCCTGCAGATATACTCAACATCCTTTGGAATTCTCTGCTGATCACTAAAATACCAAAAAGAAAACGTTGGAACATTATTCAAAACACTGTGCTCAGAATTATCCCAAATGCTTATACTACACTTTTTGCTGGGGACAGAACTGCTTAAATCCTTTTATGCATTAAACAGTGCAGTTATATAAGAGCAGCACAAGTTGGGTGTAGTGATGGACACTTGTAATTACAGCATTCAGGAGGCTGAGTGCTGTGGGATGGTCTTTCTGTATGCTGTGAATATGTGTTGCTATGATTGGTTAATAAAGAAGCTGTTCTGGCCTATGGCAAGTCAGGTTATAGCCAGGCAGGAAATCGGAAGAAGAAAGGCAGGGGAGACACCAGCCTGCAGCCCAAGGAGCAACATGCCAGCAGACCAGTAAAGCCACGGAACACGTGGCAAAACATAGATTAATAGAAATGGGTTAATTTAAGATGTAAGAGCTAGCTAGCAAGAGGCCTGCCACAGGCCATACAGTTTGTAAATAATATTAAGCCTCTGACTGATTATTTTATAAGCAGCTGTGGTACTGCAGGGCCTGGCAGGACCCAAGAAAACTTTTTACTACAGCTGGGGTAGGGGGAGCCATGAGTTTGAAGCCAGCCTTTGCTACATAATGAAGCCCTGCTCCAAAAACAAAACAAACAAAATAGCAATACATATTTGTCTTAAACAAAAGCAATCTATGCTATGAGAAAACTAGGATAGTAATTATTCTTGGGAAGAAAGGCACAAGGCGAGCTCCTGGGATACCAGTAACTATTTCAGGTGTTGCTTGCATAGATATGCTCATCTATGAAAACTCATTAATAAGTACACTCAGGTATGCTTTTCTAAGTACACAATACAACCCTAGAAATAAAGAAAAACTTTTTTTTTTTGGTTTTTCGAGACAGGGTTTCTCTGTGTAGCTTTGCGCCTTTTTCCTGGAACTCACTTGCTAGCCCAGGATGACCTCGAACTCACAGAGATCCACCTGGCTCTGCCTCCCGAGTGCTGGGATTAAAGGCGTGCGCCATCACCGCCCGGCCAAGAAAAACTTTTGAGTTGGGTATAGACTAATACTTTCATTTTTAAATTCTAAGCTAATAAACATCTCATGGGACTCATGAGATTTTTAAGAGCAATACATTAAAAATGGAGGTGGGAACACGGGGACAGAGAGGGAGAGCAGAGAAGGGCGGGAGAATATCGTCACTATTTTTAGTCTCGTGCAAAATAAAATAAAATTGACAATTTTCCTCCCCTCCACAGCTCCCACTTGAGGTACACACAGGGCCACTGCTGGCCAAGAAAGACCCAAGTTTGAGACCAAATGAAATATGAAAAAATGTTAGCGTGGACTCCTAAATATAGTTCCCAGTGATTACTACATGACAACCGGGTTGGTCCAATCTTTCTAATATATAAAATTAGGGTCTGACACTGTTTTAAGAGCGTGACTTTGAGTCGGACTCAAAAAAATCCAGCGTGTCAACCACCTACGGAAGGACTCTACACAAGCAGGGCAGAGAGACCTTTCAGCGTCACTAGGACCCCAGGCTGGGGCTCGGGCCGGGTGGCGCCGACCCCCGAGACACCCTCCCCACACACCCGAGGCATGTTTACTCTTTGACAAACAGCTGCCGGAGGCGGTCCCATCCGGATTCCGGGGGACCGGGTTCCGAGACATAGGACTGCAGCTCCCGATCCTCCACAAAGCCTTGGGAATCCGCAGCCACAGCACCGGCAGCAAAGACTCGGGGCAGAGGACCCCAGGCCCGGCAAAGGAGGCTGCGGGGCGCGGGCGGCGGCGCCTCCATGGCGCCCTCCCACCCGCGGACAGACACCCCGGGGCCGGCGAGCACCGTGGGAGAGGGTGACCTGCAGAGCGGAGCGGGGGGATATAGTGGGGACACTTGAACCTCACATCCGGTCCCGGGCCGGCTCACTTCAGCAGGCACTCGGAAACACGAGACCGGAAGTCCCGCCCCTAGCTGCGCAAAAAGGCCGAGGGGCGGGGCAGGGCGACAGCGGAACGCTGGCCGAAAGCCCTTCCGCTCAGGGTAGGGTGGGTGACGGTGGTGCCCCGGAAGTGAGGTGGCGGCGGTAATCTTTTCCGTGAGGTCCTCAGTTGCTTGTGCCCGGTAGCTCTGGTCTACTGGGTCGGGCTCCGCTCAGCTTGAGGTGCTCAACGGACTTAAGGTGCTCACTGAAGATGCAGAAAGCCCACATGGGAGGAAGGCGACAGTGCAGTGCGGAAAGAGACTGGCGATGCGCTTCAGCTAAGCCCGTGCGTCACCAAGCTTGTCTGGGGGCTGGAAGATCCCCAGGCCGAGCAGAGTAATGTCCACTCTTGCCCTGGACATTACGGTGCACCCGAATAGCTCCAAGATTTGAGGACGCTTTTGGAAGCATCAACTGTGGGCATTTTTTTTTTTCTTTCATATCGTGGGTTCCGCTACAAGTATTTGTATGCTTACTGCTCTGAGAAGTCAAAAGATCTAGAATTTTTATCGTTTAATAACTGGAACTGTTACCTTCTGCTAAGAACACGTGCTTCGAAGTCTAGTTTTCATTGGAATGCCCTCACTGGATGAAGCGGCGGGTGTCTGTAATCTCAGCCTTTAGGAAGTGGTGCTGGAGGGTTATCAGTGCAAGATCTGATTTGGCCATACATGAGGCCAGCCAACCCGAGCTTCACAATACCACAGCATGGTTCCCAGCACCTACATCGGGCATATCACAACCTCTTGTACTCCAGCACTAGAGTATCATACATCCAATTCTGACTCTTGAACACACATTTTTTAAAAAATGTATATAGTGCTCTATCTGCATATACACCTGCATGCCACAAGAGGGCCTAATATCCCACTATAGATGGCCCTGAGCCTATGTGGTTGCTGGGACTTGAACTCAGGACCTCTGGAAGAGCTGCCAATGCATTTAACTCGAGCCATCTCTCCAGCTCCCACGCCTTTTTTTGTTTTGTTTTGTTTTTTCGAGACAGGGTTTTTCTGTGTAGCTTTACACCTTTTCTGGAACTCTGTAGCCCAGGCTGGCCTCGAACTCAAGAGAGATCCACCTGCCTCTGCCTCCAGAGTGCTGGGATTAAAGGCGTTCACCACCACCGCCCGGCTTGCCTTTTTTAAAAAAAACAAAACAAAACACCAAGGCAAATTTTTTTTTTTTAAAAGTTCACCAAGTTAAAATATTCCTGGTTTGTTTGTGTAATATTTAATCCTTGGCAGTTACCACATATCTCATATTCTCTTTGCAAACCTACTTTTCTAGTCATTTGAAAGCACACACTGGAAAGCTCAGTGGTGCTCTACAGTCACTTCCATAGAGTACTGAATAAATAACTATGGACTTTCATATGGATATATATATAGTAAATAGGATTTAGGGAGTTGATTGTGGCACATCTCTACAGATAAGGTCCAGAGACGTGCCTTAAATGGAACACACATGAGCACAGCACTGCATTGTTGTAATTTCCTGTTTGCTGATCTCTCTCAAGAGGACTGAAGCTGAATACTCATCTCTCTGCACTTCTGGATCACCAGTGTTGGGAAAGCTACCATGAAGCAGCTGTTAAGTAATTAACAACCCCCCCCCCCCCCCCAAAAAAAGGTAGGGTTTCTCTGTGTAGCCCTGGCTGTCCTAAAACTCACTCTATAGGCTGGCCTCAGCCTCAGAGATCTGCCTGCTTCAAGTAATTATCTGTTGAATGAAGAATTCAGATCCCATTTCCTGGCTCTCGCTTGCATCTTCTTGGTCCTTTTTTTTTTTTTTTCCCCAGAGGTGGGCACTGGGATTAAGGTCCTAAGGCCAGAAAGACCAACAAATGGATGTGTTGTCTGTCTAGCTTACCTGTAGGAAAAACTGAGTGCTTGCATTTGTCTGACATTCTTGAAGTCTTGGGACTGATCCTCAGAACTTGAGCTAGAGTCATTCTGGAATCAGGGTAGACTTGGAATGGGGACGGGGCAGAGGTTGGGCAGACATTGACAAAATCATTTATATATAACTCAAACATCCCCAGGATCCTGTATCCTACAGACATAAATGATAACTGATAGATTTCACTAACTCTGCAGACTGATTTTGTTGTTTTAGGTGGTACTAGGAATTGAACCTATGCCAGGCAAGTGCCATATCACTCAGCTATATCCCAGCCCCCAAAGATTCACTTTGGCTACTGCTCAGCCTTACTGATCTATCTCATCTCTCTCCAACTCTCTTACTCCGTCAGCCTTCCATATTTCCCAAGCTATCAGAGTTTACCTTCTTGTACCACAGGGAAGCACGAAGCACTCTGCCTCTCCTGTATTATTGTGCAAGATATCTTGCACCGATTATTTTGAAGGGTCACAAAGCAGTACTGTCAAAGTCACAAGGTTGTTGTGAGAAGTAATCAAAACACACTTTAACACATACCACTCTTTCATCCTCAGGACATGAGCTTGCAAACAGAGTAACCATCAGTGAAGGATTTCAATCATCACTGCTCGGAACCACCACCTGATCCCACCCGATCCTCAGCCCTGTGTGGCTGAATTCTGCTCATCAAACCCAATACCTTTTTCTGTTGTCATTTTTCTCTTGGGTCAGCAGTTCCTTTTGCCAGGTTCACCAAGTACAACTCTTAGAAAACATACTATATTTGGTTATATTGAAAACAACAGTAACCTTTCCACAGTAGAGAGAATGAATTTTTTGAGGAGCAAATGGTACGTTTGAGACTGAGCTAGTATGAATAGTAACAAAATCTTCAGAAGTATGAGCACACAAACTATTTTCAAAAGCATACACTTTACATGGTGTTACACATCAGTCATTCTTATACCATCAACACTGAGGTACACAGATAAGTATAAAATCTGAGTAACTTGTTTTTAAAACAAAGATACCCCTTGCTACTCGAGAGGGCAAGTGAGGATCTGTATTGATCCATTTCTTACAATGCATCCCATCCCCTCAGCCAGTAACTGAGCAATTTAAAAATAGAATTTAGTTAAGCCAAGTGAGTGTTATCAATCCATCCCCTACTCACCCATCCCCCCAATAGTTCTTCAGTAATTATTCTGTGAGGCACTGTGCTGGATAATGGAGACATCAAGAGCAGTGAAACATCATTCTCACCATTAATAAGCTTACAGAACAATGAAAGAAACAGCCAATAACCACAACGCAGTGTGATAGCACATAATACAGGCATGAGCAGATTGTAACAATAGTCCCTAACTGCCAAGAATTAGGTTCAGAAAGGTGATGTTGGAGCTGTAACTTGAAATAAACTGTACATCTTTCTCAGAAGGGGAATAAGGAAGTACTCCAATAATGATTTATGCTAAAATATCCCCTATGGGAGTAAAAAATGAAAATTAAATGCTCTATAAATTGCCACTTTATGATGTGTTCACATATGAAGATTATGGTCTCTGCAAATTGAGATGGTCCTGCTGCTACTAAAATCAAAGGTGTGCAAAAGGTGAGTTAGAGTTTATAAGGCAGGACCTCATGTAGCCAGGCTATCCTTGAATTCTTGTGTAGCTGAGGGTGGCCATGAACTCTTCCTGCCTCTACTTCAGAAGTGCTAGTATTACAGGGACATTGTTTTGTTTTGTTTTAATCAAGACTGCTTCCTAAATGTATTAAGAAATTTCTTTCTTTATCTCTCTCTTTTTAGAGAGAGAATAAAAAGGACACGAAGGCACAAAATGGGCACTTGAAATCCACCTGCAAAAGTTACTCATGCAATTGAAGCATTAGAGAAACGTCCTGAGTGCCGAAGAAGTTATGCTCTACAAAAGATAACTCCAACACGCCGCACGGCACAGCCACTACGTCCTTAGACGCTTCAGGAAATGATCATTGTGGGGCTTTTCAAACCCCAGAAGATTTCTACATTAAAATAGAGCAACAGACATCAAGCCTAGAATGACTTCAGAGTTGCAGATATGAACTGTACCAAAGGATGGATGGTCTGCTCCAAATAACAGGACAAAGGGCCTGGACCCAGTCAATTTCACAGTGATGATACATGTAGATGACCTGAGGCACAAGCTGTGATTGATCCTAAGAAAATGAAAGTTAGAATGTCGTTCCAAATCCTTATTTCATGATTTCAAAGAGTTGAGCTGTTTCATTTCTGTTCATTAAACACATTTTAGATCTTTCTCAAGAGTCCCTCCAGATATAACATGATAAGGAAAACTGGATGTTTGGTTTGACCAAAGGTGTTCAAAATATAGGTGTCACGCTCATAGTATTTCACCACAGAGCATCCCAGATCCACTGTCAGGATTCCAGTCCTCTGATGACTACTACAGTTCAGTTTTCAAAAGTCTGGGAATGATCTCATAATAATCTTTCCTTTTTGTTACATTATAGGACAGGAATTTGGAGTATTCAGTCAAGAGGTTCTCCCAGTAACAGGTGATGTCATCCATCTGCAAATGGTTTTTTATGAACTGGCTTCCCCTAGAGACAAGATTAACAAGAGTATTTTAAATCATAGGCTTTATTAACAACAACAAGCCCACATATTGTTATGCTACTTTATCATGAGCCTTATTCTGAGCATTTGATTTAACTCAACTGCACCTCACAACCAACCCTGTAACTGTCACATCCATATGCATGTATTCAGCAAGAGCACTGAACGTTTGTTTCTAAAAACAAGCAATATTGCCAGCCAATATTCATTTTAACCACGTAAGTTTGTTGCTGTTGTTTTGTCTTGGTGTGGTTGGGAGTTTTGAGACTGCGCACTCTTTACTTCAGGCTGGCCTAGAATTCACTTCATAGCCCAGGCTGTCCTGGAACTCAAAGCAATTCTCTTGGCTCAGTCTCCCCATTGCTGGGATTACAGGTGTGAGTCACCATGCCTAGCTAAAAATATTTGTCTTAGTTCCTCCATGACTGGAGAGACCCTGGGCCTGGAGAGAGGGTTCAGTGCTTAAGAGTGTACTGCTCTTGCTCATGACTGCCTGTAATTCCAGTGCTAGGGGGTCCTGTGCCTCTGACCTCCTGGGCACCAGCACTGACATGCATATACCCACACACAGGCAGACGCAGATATACATACAATTTAAAAATCAATGAATCTTTGAAAGACTGAAATCATTTGTGGATGTGTGCATTTGCCTCAGGACAGCTGTAACTCTGAATTCCCTTTGTAATGAAGCCGAGGCAAGGACATTATCATGTAACTATATTTGGAAAACTTCAGGACAGATGAGGACAAGAAAGGACAAACAAATAGCGCTTACCTGTTAGCAATTTCCTGAGCAATATCATCATTTGCTTTTACAAACTGCAACAGCTCCCTAAAATGACAAGAACCATGACAATGTAGAAGCTGGGGAGATGGCTCAGCTGCTAACATATTTGCCATGCAAGCACAGGAACCCGTGTTCCACACCAATACCCACAGAAGCAGCCAGGCAGGATGGCTTGTGCTTCTAATTCCCGGGTCAGTAGAGACCGATGGATCCCTGGAGCTTGCCGGCCAGCCAGCCAATTCTAATAGGCAAGCACAAGGTCCCAGCAAGAGATTTTGTCACAAAGAGAACAAAATGTATGGCCCCTGTTGACCTCTGGCCTTCCTACACACATGAACAAACACACATGCACCATACACAGACACACACATACACACAAAATCATAAGCTTTTAAAATATAGATCACACTCATTAATAACAAGTAAGAAAGGCAACAGATAAATCTGGAGATCTGTAGGTTGTAGATAATTTCTTTAAAGCAAAGATATTAGGGTGCCTAAAGAAATAAAATAACAGCAAAGAAAAAAACTCTATATACAAAACCAGGAATCATGGGGCATGGTGTACGCAATGATCCCAGCACATGGGAGGCAGAAGCAGGAGCATCAGGAGTTCAAGACTGCCTCAACTATACAGCAAGTTTGAAGAAAGCCCGAGTTACGATGGGCAGTGGTGGCGCACGCCTTTAATCCCAGCACTCGGGAGGCAGAGCCAGGCCGATCTCTGTGAGTTCGAGGCCAGCCTGGTCTACAAAGCGAGTTCCAGGAAAGGTGCAAAGCTACACAGAGAAACCCTGTCTTGAAAAACCAAAAAAAAAAAAAGGCCGGGCGGTGGTGGCACACGCCTTTAATCCCAGCACTCGGGAGGCAGAGCCAGGCGGATCTCTGTGAGTTCGAGGCCAGCCTGGTCTCCAAAGCGAGTTCCAGGAAAGGCGCAAAGCTACACAGAGAAACCCTGTCTCGAAAAACCAAAAAAAAAAAAAGAAAAAGAAAGCCCGAGTTACATAAAACCATATCTCCAAAAAAAAAAGCAAGTTAAAGTCAGATTGTTACCTGTCACCATCATCTATTATACTATGTTCCAGTATATAAACTTGGGATGTATTTTGGAAAACACAAAAATGTACAACAATAATCATAAAAAGTCAAGTATAAAAAATAATTTCTGGGACCAGAAAAATGGCTCAGCAGGTGGCAGCCTGACAAGCCAAGTCTACCCTGGAAACCCCTGTGAAAGGCTGGATGTGGTGGCAATCTGCTGTCATCTCAGCAGGGACAGGAGAGTCACAGGAAGCCTGGAGCGTGCAGCACAGCAACAGAAACGAGCGAG